GTGGGGGAAGCTTGCCGCAGAAGTCTCTGAACACCAGGGCTTCAACGGAGAGCGGCGACGTAACAAGCTCTTCACACCAAGGCTCCCAAGCGCGAAGGTGATGTAAAAAGCTCGTCACACCAAGGCTCCCCAGCGCGAGCGGCAACGTACAAGTCGTTGAACACCAGGGCTCCCAATAGAGAGGTATGACCTAACAAGCTCTTCCCACAAAAGCTCCCAAGAGCGAACGGTGACGTGACAAACTCGTGCCACTAAGGCTCCAAAGAGCGAACGGTGACTTAAACAAGTCTCAGCAACAAGGCTCCCAAGAGCGAGCGGCAACGTAAAAGTCTCTGAACACCAAGACTCCCAAGAGGGACCGGTGACGTAACAAGCTCTCACCACCAAGGCTCCCAAAAGCGAAGGGTGCCGTGAGCCCTCTCGGGCAAGTTCCTGGTCCGCTCTTTCCGTTCCCATGCCAGCCCAGGTGACGGAAAGAGCGAGGTACGAGCAATGTGCGTTGAGTTCGGCGTTTGCGCCTCCTTAGTGGGAGTGCAGAGGGGGGGAAGGCGCGGAATTCTCTTGTTAATGACCGACATGGGGCCGTTTCCTTTTGGATTTTTTCGAGTGAAGCGGCTCGCGGGCGGCTCCCATGGCCCGTTTCTAAATGGTTTTTCAAATGATGCGGCTCGGGGGCCCCAAGACGGCCCCAGAGGACACCAAGACGGCCTAAAGACGTCCCCAAGAGAGCTTCGGGTGGCCTCCAGACGGTCCAAGAGAGCCTCCAGACTGTTCCGGAGACCTTCCAGAGGGCTCTCGAGACCTCAGGAGCCCGAAAACATTGATTCCCCACAGGTTTTTGAAGGTTTTTCGGGTTCTCGCCTTTTCGGACGGCCCATGAGGTCCCAAAGCTCGTCCAAAGACGGCCCCAGAGGCCCCCCGAAGAAGCGGAAAACTATCCAAGATGGCCTCCAGACGGCCCCGAAGGAGCCCAAAACGGTCCAAAAGGGCCCCAAGACGGCTCAAGAGGGCCACAAGATGGCCCCACGAGAGCCCCAAGAGGGCCCAAAGAGGCTCCCAAGAGGGCCCCAAGAGGCCCCCAAGGGAGCCCCAAGACGGCCAAAGGTTTCCAAAACGCCCTAGACGGCCCAAAAGGGCCAAGACGGCCCAGAATTGCCTCAAAAGGGCTCCCGAAGGGCTCCAAAAGGGCTCCAAGAAGACCCCGACGAGGCTCAAGAAACGCTCAAGAACACCATGGCTCCCATCAGCGAGCGTTGACGTAACAAGCTCTTGACACCAAGGCTCCCCAGAGCGCGGTGACGTACAAAGCTTGGAAAGAGCGCTTTCTGTGGTCGCTTGGAGGGGGTGGGGTCTGGAACCAGATCCCCCCCCCCCTGGATGGAGGAGGGGGGGGGACGAAGGGGGGGGGGGTTCGACCCCCCCCCCTCCCTTTCCCTCCCCTGCTCCCCCTCTCCTCGGGCCGGCGCTTGCGTCGGCGGCGGCTGGCGGCGGCGGCGGGGACGACGATTTCCTTTTCTTGGCCGGCGCCGGCGCCTGCGGCGGCGGGCGGCGGCGGCGGGGAGCGTCGACGAGGACGACGGTGGTGGTGGTGGTGGTGGTGGTGGTGGGTTCTGGAGGTGGTGCTGGCGGTTGTGGTGGTTGTGGTGGTTGTGGTGGTGGTGGTGGTGGTGGTGTGGTGGTTTGTTATGGTGGTGGTGGTGGTTGTTGTGGTGGGTGGTGGTGGTGGTGGTTTTGGTGGTGGTGGTGGTGGTTTGGTGGTGGTGTTGTGGTGGTTTGTGGTGGTGGCTGCCCGCAGGGGATACTACAGCATGGGCCGCTTCTGGGCGCGCAACCGCATCTGGCGACTGACGCGGGTCGCGTTCGGGCCTGTGGTGCAGGGGGCGGCGTACAGTGGTTTGAATGTTCTGATTCTCAGCGAGACGCAACACCGACAGCTGGATAAAGTACTCTCGAGTCTTGGCCGTCGTCTTCTCGCAGGTGCCGCATGCCAGATCCCTCTTCTCGCTGACGATGGTTCTCCCCGGTTCGATGACAAGGCCAAGCCGCTGCTTCGCTACCAGGCAATGACAGACGAGTCAGTGTTGAGGAGGCTCGGCGTAGCCCCCGCGCAGACTGAGCTCCGTGTTCGGCGACTTCGTCAGTATCAGCGCTGGCTTCGTTTCCCTGGTCGCCACCCGCAGGAGCTTGCGGTCGTGTTCGGCGAGCTGCCTGTTGACAGGACGCTGGCGTTGCTGGACGACGGCTCGGTGGCGGATGACGCCAACCCGTACGCGCTGCGGTTCGTCGCCGACGTGGTCGCGCTGCTGGAGGTTGCCGAGGCGTCGGAGCTGCGGGGGGATCTGCTTACCCCAGGTGGCGCTCTGAACGTTGTCGCGCTGTTCGCTCGCGAGGACCTGCGCGAGAGCTACCTGATGCTGGATCCTGGGCCGTCGCGGGCGCAGGCGCGGACGGTGGCGATCCCGCCGCCAGGCTGGCTACCCCCCGCTGGCGATGGTGCGGCGCCTCCGCCGCCTACCGCGACCTGGTGCTGCGAGCTGCTGGACGCCGAGGGCGTCAAGTGCGGGCGCGTGTTCGTGATGCGCCGTGCTCTGGTGGCGCATCAGAAGCTTCAAAAAAACTGGTCACGGATGTCGTTCTACGATTCACTTTGTCGTTGTCACTAATCAGTGCTTGTTTTGTGCCAGTGTTTTCAGGACTCGTCGGATAGCTCTGTCAGGAACCTGCGGTTGCTTCCTGTCTGACTCGCAGATGCCCTGTCCAGAGATCTCCATACTACCACAAGGTCGAGGGGCCTCAGTCTTTGATGTGCCCCTTGACATCGATCAAAGTGTCGGAGTTGGTACCTGGTACCAATGTCCTGGAGTTTGCGTGTTGGGTGGGGGAGCCCTTCGAGTCCCTCGAGGCCCTGCAGGCGCACTTGCTCGAGTTGCACGCGCCGCAGCCTGTTCCCGAGCGATCCGCCACAGGTGGTGTTCGGGGCCTATCGTTTCAGCCCGCAGGTGCTGCAGGCAGCAGCCGCCCAGGGCCGCTCCCGCTCCCGCATTCGCCGAGTCGCGAAAGCGCGCGCTGGCCGCGGTGGCTCCGCGAGTGCCAGCAGCGGCGCGCGCCCTCGCCGCGCTCTGGGCGGCGGCCGCAGCGCCGACGCGCGCGCCGCGGCGCCAGCCCCGCAGCCCGCAGCGGGAGGCGCGGCCGCGGCCCCCCTCGCCCAGGGGGCCCGCGGAGGGCGCCGCGAGGCGCAGGGCGAGCTGGCCCAGAGCTACGGCCTGCCGCAGGACGCGCTGAAGCTCATTCCCGTCATGGCGAGGGCGATCCTCGGCAACTCATTCAATCTCATGCAGCTGATGGCGACGACATGCCACGCGCTGCTGGTGGCGGAGAGTTCGGTGATGGCGACAGCTGGGTTCATGGCAGGGCGGGCGTGCGCGGCGGAGGCGCAGAGGCTTCGCGATCTTCACGCTGCGGACCCCGCCCAGCATCGCGCTCCAGAGCTGGTCATGGGCCTCGCCTGCGTGCAGGTGCTCCTGCAGATTGCGCTGGCCGCGCGCGACGCGGGCGATCAGGTGGGGCTGCGCAACAAGGACGAGTGGGCGGTGATCTACGGCAGGCTCGAACCCATGGACATCGAAGCCCTGGCCATGATGGTCCGCGGGTGCCGAGTGTCGCAGTGCTGGCAGGAGAACCAGGCTCGGATCACGGTGGCGGTCAGCGAGCGCGCCATCGAGGCCTGCTTCCTGAAGTGCGCCGAGCAGCTGGGGGCGGAGATCAGGCCTGGTCCCGCTCCGAGAGGGCACCAGGAGAGGCTGCTCCAGCCGGCAATGGACCAGCTGGCCTAGACGGATCGTGTCGGCAAGAAAAAGGACGTCGGCAGGCAGCAGGATGCCCGCCAGAAGTAACCAGTGAGAAGTGACCAGTGAGGAAGCCCAGTGATAGCTTCCCCGAGGGAGACCGCGAGGAGACCAGTGAATGATCCTCTCTGATCTGTTTTTTCCCTCCCCTCCCGAAGCCCGCAAAGGGTGCGGCCCCTCTCCCCCCTCAGCATAGTAGCAGCAGCACTAGTTCAGCACGTGTACAGCACAGCACACAGCGAAGCAGAAGCGAAGTAACTGTAAAACAGTTCGAGAAACTCAGTTTGATGGGGCGCTTCAGACTCCTCGAATTTCATCGCAAGTGGTAAAGCGAACATACGATTCGGGGCTCTCAGGGAGGGTCCGACATGGCTTTTTGGAAGCGCGCCCACATGCAGGTCGTGCATATCGCATGCGTTATCCGTCGATGTGTTTCAGTGGTTGACCCTCGACCCGAGGCCCGAAGCAGCGACCGACCGACCGACCGACCTTCTCCTCTTCGCCTCCTCCCTCTCATCGCCTCCTCCCCCATCCTTCGCCATCGGGGAAACGGATCCTGAGGTTTTCCGCCGCCTTCCGTCCCCTCGGGCCCTCCACGGGCCCCAGGACCGTCAGAACACGACCCGGGATGAAGAACTGGTCCAGGGGGGCAGGCCCCAGGGTCCGGGACCCGATTCCCTCCGGATCCGCTGCCCCCGTGCTGAATCCTCGCGTCCTCCCCTTCCCCCCCTCCCCCCGCCAGGTGGCCGAGCAGTACCGGCGGTTCGAGCGGCACACGGACATCGGAGGGCGGCCGCCGTGCACCGGTGCCCGTCCTGGTGGGGCCGGCCCTGGGCCGATGGATCGGCGTGTTGGGCCTCTCCGGGAGTTGTTTGGGGACGTTTTTTGGGGTCGGGGGCGGTCCAAGGGGGGGGGTGATGACTAGCGGGGGGTGGGCATCATGGCGTGGGCCATGGTAGTTCCTCCGGTTTCATGGCGCCTCTGCTTATTTTCATCACGTCCCTGCCCCCCCCCCCCCCCCCTGGGCCGCCGCGCACGTGCCGCCGGCCATGATTTGCGCTCCCCCCTCTTGGACACCCCCGTCTTGGCCGCCCCCGATTGGGCTTGCGGTCGGCGTCACCCACACATACTCATACAGTGGAGGGCCATGCCAAGAAACACCCTTCTCGCCTCCAGGGTGCCCTGGGTTTCTTGGTTTTCGATGGTTTTGCTGTGGAAGGCGTGACGCTCCCACACCCCAAATCGATGGACGTCCTGGGGTCTCAGGGTTGGGTTTTTTGTGGAAGGTTTCTTGTCGACTGGCCTCCACTGTGCAATGTGTGCGTCGCCCCTCCCGGAGCGACGCGCGCGCCGAGGAATCTTACAGTATACGCGTCGTTGCAGGCGCTCTCTGGTCGTAGCGGTCGGGAATCGATGTACTACAGGATAGCTCTACTATCTGTTTGGGTCGGACGAACGCCTCCGAGGAGGATACCTAGTACTAGTATGTCCTTCCTTGTGCGTCCCATGCGGGCGTCCTCGTGGCCGCGGCTGGATTTGCTTCGGAATTATTGCCAGAAGGGGGCTGGGAGCCGATGCTTTGGAGGAGGGCTCGAACTGGAGACGACGCGAGCAGATCGCGCTGACGGCTTTTCGTAGTCTTCTGGTGTCCGGGGCCGAGGGGCATCTCTCGGCCCCGAAGACCGTCAGAGTAACGACCTGGGATGAGATGCCCGGTCCTGGGGGATCGGCTCGAGAGCCTGAGGATTCAGTCGCGCATGCCCCAGGAATAGCCAAGACGAGCGAACAACTTCTAACAACTGTGGCATTCACAAGTGCATCTGGTTGACTTCTTCGCCAGGACGATTATAGTTTGTTTCATGCTTTTTTCTGGGCGGGGGGGGGGGGGGTTCGGGGGGGGGTCAGAAATCTGACTGTTTCTCCGTGTCGGGCCCTGGAAACCCTACATAAATCTCCCAAGCTCTCCCCCCCTTCCCCCCGGGATCCGGGGGGGAAAACAATAGAACAAAAACATATTGGGTTTGTTTCTGGGGGTTCTGGGCGGGGTTCCAGAGAACTCCCACACCGGTCTCGGCCCAGGGACAACAAAAACGTCCCGCGTGACAGACGTGGGATCCCCATGCGCGGCCCCGGCAACACTCAATGGGTGACCGCCCTCTTGGCTGGGCGAGGGGGGGCGGCGTCAGGTGTGTTATGCGTGGGAGTCATGTTGAGCATGTGTCGTTGTCTTCCCAGCTATTGCCGCTTACTACTGGTTCATAGTGGTCGCTTGTAGATGCTAGTAGGCGCCAATGGACACGAGTAGGCGTTAATATGTACCAATAAGTGCTATTAGGTGCTCACAGGCGCTGACAGGGACATTGTGAAACACTAGTAGGCGCTAGCCGGGCGGAATCTTTCTTTGTTCCCCACATCCAAAGTGGGATTGTTTTCTTTGTGCACCCCCCACGCAGGAACCTCACACCTCACCCCCTCTCCTCTTCTCCCGTGGCACACTCACTCAATCACTCACACCATCATCGTCAGTCCCACGCGCACACACACACACTCACTCGCAGTCAGTCGCCACCCACTCGTCATCACACTCACCCGATCACTTTCATTCATTTCACTCACAACTACCCCTGATCACTCATCATCATTAGCATCACAACGCCATCGTTTTGTTCCCCACATCCAAGATGGGGCTCTTGTTTTCTCTAGACACACCGCGCAGGAACAAGAGAACACACCCTCTCCTCTTCTCTGATCGCACACTCATTCACCCAATCACTCACACACATCATCACTCATACTCGTTCACACACCGACTCACTCACCCACTCACACACACTCACACTCACACTCACTCACCCACTCACCCACCCACCCACACACTCACACACACACACGCACATACTCATCATCATCATCACTCACTTACTCACCCACTCACTCACTCACTCACTCACTCACTCACCCACTCACTCACCCACCGACCCGCCCACCCACTCACCCACTCACTCACACTCTCATCGTCATCATCATCATCATCATCATCATCATCATCATCATCATCATCATCACCATCGTCATCATTATCATCAGCATCATCACCATTATCACCCTCATCATCATCACCATCATCAACATCATCATCATCGTCATCATCGTCATCATCATCATCATCATCATCATCATCATCATCATCAGCGTCATCACCATCTCCACTCACTCACTCACTCATTCACTCACGCACTCATCTTAGGCGGGAGCCTCGTCTGCGAGTGAATTGCGAGGAAGTCTCAGGCGGGAGCCCCCTCCCTACAGTTTGGTGCCCGCACTTCATGTTGGTAATCCGAGCGGGTCATCGGCCTTCTGCAACTGTCGACACTTTTGGGCTCCTCAGGCCTGCATTTGGAGGAAGTCTCGGGCGGGAGCCTCGTCTGTGAGTGAATTACGAGGAAGTCTCAGGTGGGAACCCCCTCCCCGTGGGGCCCGCACTTCATGTTGGTACTCCGAGCGGGTCATCGGCCTCCTGCAACTGTCGTCACTTTTGGGCTCCTCAGGCCTGAATGTAGAGGAAGTCTCAGGTGGGGGCGTCGTCTGTGAGTGAATTGCGAGGAAGTCTCATTCGGGTGTCCCCTCCCTTTGGGACCCGCACTTTACGTTGGTAATCCGAGCGGGTCATCGGCTTCCTGCAGTTGCCGTCATTTTTGGGCTCCTCAGGTCTGAATTTGGAGGAAGTCTCAGGCGGGAGCCTCGTCTGTGAGTTAATTGCGAGGAAATTTCAAGCGGGAGCCCCCTCCCTATGGGGCCCGCACTTCACGTTGGTAGTCCGAGCGGGTCATCGGCCTTCTGCAACTGTCATCATTTTTGGGCTCCTCAGGTTTGAATTTTGCGAGCGAATTGTGAGCGAGTCTCAGGCGGGAGTGAATTGCGAGGAAGTCTCAGGCGGGAGCCCCCTCCCTATGGGCCCGCAGCTCATATGAGCAATCTGAGCGGGTCATCGGCCTCTGAGGCCTGAATATGGGTGAGGTATGAGGCGGGAGCCTCGTCTGAGAGTGAATTACGATGAAGTCTCAGGCGGGAGCCCCCTCCCTATGGGCTCGCAGTTCATATGAATAATCCGAGCGGGTCATCGGCCTCCTACAACTGTCGTAACTTTTGGTCTCCTGAGGCCTGAATATGGGTGAAGTATGAGGCGGGAGCCTCGTCTGTGAGTGAATTGCGAAGAAGTCTTAGGCGGGAGCCTTTTCCCTATGGTGCCCGCACTTCATGTTGGTAATCCGAGCGGGTCATCGGCCTCCTGTAAACGCCGTCACTTTTGGGCTCCTAAAGCTTGAATGTGGAGGAAGTATAAGGCGGGAGCCTCGTCTCTGACCTTCCTATGGTGCCCGCACCTCACGTGCTTTCTCCGGGTCGTCCTCCGGCGCGCGCTTCCGCTGGGTCGTTCTCCAGCGCATAGCCGCTGGGACGCACCTCGTGCGTTTCCTCTAGGTCGTGTTCCGCACGCGGCAGAGGAGGAGGAGGAGGAGGAGGAGGAGGAGGAGGAGGAGGAGGAGGAGGAGGAGGAGGAGGAGGAGGAGGAGGAGGAGGAGGAGGAGGAGGAGGAGGAGGAGGATGCCCTCGGAGGCCCCAGGAGGTCCCGGGAGGCCCAGAAGGCTCCAGGAAGCCCGAAGAGGCCCCAGGAGGAGGCAGGAGGCCCAAGGAGGAGGCGGGAGGAGGAGGAAGAGGAGGAGGAAGAGGAGGAGGAGGAGGAGGAGGGGGAGGAAGATGGAGACGAGCAGGAGGAGGCGGAGGAGGGAGAGGGAGAGGAGAAGGAGGAGGGGGAGGGGAAGGAGGATGAGCATGATGAGGAGGAGGAGGAGGAGGAGGAGGAGGAGGAGGAGGAGGAGGAGGAGGAGGAGGAGGAGGAGTGGAGAGAGGGAAAAGCAGGAGGAGGAAAAGGAGGAGGAGGAGGAGGTGGTGGGGAGGAGGAGGAGGAGGAGGAGGAGGAGGAGGAGGAGGAGGAGGAGGAGGAGGAGCAGGAGCAGGAGCAGGAGGAGCAGGAGGAGCAGGAGGAGCAGGAGGAGGAGGAGGAGCAGGAGGAGGAGGAGGAGGAGGAAAAGGAGGAGGAGGAGGAGGAGGCAGGGGTTGAGGTGGGAGGAGGAGCAGGCAGAGGGAGGAGGAGGAGGAGGAGGAGGAGGAGGAAACAGGAGTAGGTTGGAGAAGGGAGGGGGCAGGAGGAGATCCCCAGGCAAGTTGAACGGATTATCATGTGGGGTCCTACCGTCGGAGTAATGTTGTGCATTGTTGTTACAATAACATATTGTCACACGCACAAAATACGGGGCAAAGTGTGTCGATCTTGCGCCCATGGATGGGCCGAAGCCTAGTCCTTGCGTCGGCGCTCCGCAGCCGGCGCCCGTCTCAGGACATCAAGTGCATGGATGTTGTCGGCGGCCAGGAGCGCCCAAGCCTCCTCGTCGTCCTCGTCTTTCCGCCTCCGCCCACAGGAGGAGGGGGGAGGAGGTGAATGAGGCGGGGGCAGAAGGACAAGGAGGAGGAGGCGGAGGAGGGGAAGGAGGAGAAGGGGGAGGGGGGAGGGAGAGAGGAGGAGGAGGAGGAGGAGGAGGAGGAGGAGAAGGAGGAGGAGGAAGAGTAAGTACAATCATATTATTATTAATAAGAAGAGGAGGATGAGGATGAGGAGGCGGCGGAGGCGGATGAGGACGAGGAGGAGGAGGACTTGAAGTGATATCGCTTTGGGGCGCCTTAGCCCCGTTGGTGGGCCCAACTACTTGGTGTCAGCACCCTGTAGGGCACGATGACCCGTGTTGCCGCGGCTGGAACGGTTGTGGCCGAAGTTTCCCCCTCCCGCGCGTGGGCCCAGCTATCCGGTATCACCACTCTGTAGGGCACGGTGGCGTGTGTTGCCGCTCCTTGAACGGCTGTGGCCGACGTTCCCCCCTCCTGGGCCACCCAAACACGCCAGATGGAGTGCCGCGCCTGCAACGGCTGCGTGACCGTCTCGGGTCCACCTGAGCAGGCCAGAGGAGGGGGGAGGGGTATTTTGTGCTTGGGAAGGGGGCGGGGGCACGTTTCCCCCTCCTGGGCCACCCAAACACGCCAGATGGAGTGCCGCGCCTGCAACTGCTGCGTGCGTGACCGACTCGGGGCCACCTCAGCAGGCCAGAGGCTGGAGGGGGGGAGGGGTATTTTGTGCTTGGGAAGGGGGCGGGGGCACGATGTGTCCGCCCAGGCGGCCCACAGGGCTTAAGCCCCAGTTCCCGACTCACGGAATCGGCGCGCCATTGGGGGGGGGGGCTGGTGAGTACCATTGTTCACATTTCGTTCCGCGATGTTTTGTTATGTTGGGGTGTTGGCATTCAACACCTTTTTCCGCTTTAGCCAAAGCGGCGTTGGGGGTCACCGCTGGCAATGCAAAACATCGTATATCCCATTCATTGGGATCTGGTTTCTGAACATAGAGCTACTCATGTGTCAGGAACCATTTGGCCGAGACCTCCCGCTGGCGTTGGGGGTCGACGTGTTAGCAACGCACAACATCGCTTGCTTCATTTAGTGGCATACATGGTTTCTGAGCAAACAGCTAACCTACTCATGATTCAGGGACCCTTTGGTCCAGACCTCCCGCTGGCGCCGGGGGCCACCGGTGGCATTGCACAACTTTGTGTTCCCCACTTAGTGGGACATATGGTTTCTGAGCACGGAGCTAACGTACTCATGTGTCAGGAACTCTTTGGGTTAAGACCTCCGGCCGGCGTCTGGGGTCACCGTTTACACAACATCGTTTGTTCCATTTCTTTGGGTGGATGGTTTTTGAAGGCAGAGCTAACCTACTCTTGCTTCAGGATTCCGTTGGTCCAGACCTCCCGCTGGCAGTGGGGGCCACCGATGGCAATGCGGGGCGCCTTGACCCCGTTGGTGGGCCCAACTATCAGCTATCACCACTCTGTAGGGCACGGTGGCGTGTGTTGCCGCTCCTTGAACGGCTGTGGCCGACGTTCCCCCTTCTTGGGCAACCTGAGCAGGCCAGATGGGGTGCCGTGCCTGCAGCGGCTGCGTGACCGACTCGGGGCCACCCAAGCAGGCCAGAGAGGGGGGGAAGTAGTATTTTGCGCCTGGGGAGGTGGCACGATTTGTCCGCCCCAGCGGCCCGTGGGGCTGAAGCCCCACTTTCCGAGTCACGGAATCGGTGCGCCATCGGGGGGCTGGTGCATACCGCTTTTCTCATTCGCTCGTCTGATTACATCGCCTAGTATATTACAGCGAGATGATGATGGACGCGCCGGTGTTACTTACATGTAAGAGATTACGTGCGTCAATACAGAGCGGAGATACGGCGTGCGAGCTCATTACTCCATACACAACTCTACAAACTAGTCCTGTGGATTTTCTGTGTAATCGGTCGCCGCTGGGTGATATCTGATGGACGTCTCAGGTGCCAGACAGCAATTGCTGCAGCCTCTGTGACATCGTTTCACAGGGTGCCCATGCCTGTCCATTGAGAGGCATGGGCGTCCGAGCTCCAGGTACGAGAAGCGGGTGCCACGGCCTGTACATTTACAGGGTTGGGCAACCACGCAACCTGGTCGATGTCGAAGGCTGCCGCCACCGCAACGGCAATTTGGCTGACCCATTGCGATTTAAGCGGGCCCAAATGCTCGCACGCCAAGCAACACCCTTGCGGAGGCGGGATGCCCGTACCTGTCCTCCGACAGCGACTGGCATCTTAGCTTCAGGCACTACGTGTGGATGCCAACGCCTGTCCTTCGACGGGGCTGTGCATCCATGCCGGAATGTCGCCCACTTGACACCTTCAGTATCGGAAGTTGCATATTTCGCTGTGGCGGAGACGGGGTGCTAATGCCTGTGCATCGACAGGGATGAGCGTCCGAACCTAAACCGCGCTAGCTTGTGGCCGGTGGTGTCGAAGGCTGCCTCGCCCGCCGCGTGCCGAGCAAAGCCCTCAGTGCGAGGGCGGAGTGCCCATGCCTATCCACCGACTGGGACGGGCTTTCTAGCTTTAGGCACGACGGGCGGATGCCAACTTTTCCAAGCCATCAAGGTATGAAAAGCGGATGCTGACTCCTGCCAATCGGAAGGGATGGACATCCAGGTTAGCCTGGCGCCTACATGATACCGACGCTGTCGAGGGCTGCCGTGCTCGCATTGGCAGTGGGGCCACCTAGCGGCCACCGAAACGGGCCTAGTAACATGACCTCTTTGAGGGGGCCGCGCCTGGCTGGAATGTGAGGCTTTTTAATATTGCGCCACTGTCGCCCAGTCACTCTGGGCAGGGGCTACTCAGGGGTGCTCCTCGAGTTCAGTGCGCTCTTAGTGGCGCCCCGTGCGTCCCCTGAGCTTTTCCCTTTTACCCTGTGTCGAATGGCGTCGGCACGGGGAGGAGGAGGAGGAGGAGGAGGAGGAGGAGGAGGAGGAGGAGGTCCAGTGTACACCCAAGAGCCATCAACGATGTTGGAATACACCCTCCCTCCAAGCTCCCTCTTCACAGGCCCCTACAACGGTTCATTTCCATTGAGGGATCTGCCTCGTTGGAAGACAACACATTGTTCTGGGGACTCCAACGCCACGGATCAACCTGACTGTTGCGTCTTGACGATCCTGGATCGTGCCAGAACACCATTCTTGGAATTTCAACACCGCGAATCAACGTAACTGTTGCGCCCACAAAATCCGGAACCCTTCCAAACACCATGTATTGTACGTCGATCGTCGATGTACAGAACGACTGTGCGCGGCGCTAAGGCGAGAGCCACATATTGAAAACGGGTGATCCTCAATCCGTGAAGCTCTTGCAAATGTTGAAAAAGAATGCGCGCGGCGCGAACGTGAGAGCCACATGTTGAAAACCACCCGCCCTCCATCGTTGAAGCTTTTGTCAACTTTTAAACTTCAGAATCATGAGTGATGACGACGTCTCAGGCGAAACGCCCGGCCCGCCCTGACAAATTGCTTCGGGGTGCGACAGGGAAGCGTTCTGTATAAGGAAAAGTAATGGGAGAAAGGAGGAGGAGGAAAAAGAGGACGAGGAGGTGGACGAGGAAGACGGGGAGAAACAGGAGGAGGAGGAGAAGGAGGAGGAGCAGGAGGGGGAGGAGGAGAGCGGAGGGGGAGGTGGAGGGGGAGGAGAAGGAAAGGGCGGAAGGGGCGGGGGAGGCGGAGGGGGAGGGGGCGGAGGAGGGGAAGGGCGGAGGGGAAGGGTAAGAGGAGGATTGGAAGGTGGGGGGGGAAGTAGGATGAGAACTCAACGACAGATGTTGCGGGTGCTAAGGGGGTAAAACGACGCTGGCACCAGCGCGCCGACAAAGGCATCGGGCATCAAACCGGTGACGCCGACGCTTCCAGGAACGAGGCCAGAGACGACACCAGCAACGACTTCAGCGAGCACGAGAGCGACACCATCTGAGGCAAACGCAGCAGCATTGAAGTTGCAGAAGACACTCTGGAGCCTTTGGTCGATAGGATCAAACGTGCGACTACCGAGGCACGCTTGCGGATGCAACAGTTCAGTATCGGTGACTGGACAAGTATACAGCGGAAACGGAATTTGCAAAGGCCATAAAACGTTGTATGTGGACCAATTGGGTGTTGGCAAATGGGTATATTACAGTGGAGACCCAACAACAGCCCAGAGGGATCACCTCTCACACGGCCTGGGCGCCAAAAATCCCGATGGACAGATTGTTGGCGTAAGTTGGTCATGGATTGTCGTGGGCATGTGGACCAGCACCGTGCCCTTACACTACGCAAACGTGGGACGGCCTCCAGGACACGTGCCTTCAGCAGTGATCTTGCCGCCGTGCCTCCTCGGCCTCCCAGACGGCCGCGAGACCCTCGACGCGCCTGGAAGCCCACAAGAGGCCCCGAAGAAGCCATTGCGATGAAGGGACGAGGGGAGGAAGGGGGCTGTGGACAAGGATTTGTTCATCGATACCTGGTCTTTGAAATTGCCCCGAGCCCGCGCCGTCCAACTGTCCAGAAGCCCTGGAAGTCATTCTCCTCCGCCGCCCGTGCGATGCTGCAGTGTCTCGCACGCGTGCGCTTCAGCGGGCGCCCCAGCGCCCCGTCCGCCCTGCCCCTCGCGGCGCCGCGCGTGCCGAGCCGCTCTCCAATCCGGCACCCGTCGTGGCCGCGCGGGGAGCTCCGCCGGAGACTTCCGGCGGCGGGGCCCGCATGGAGTCCTCCGCCCCGCTCGGGCACGTCTTCCGCACGCGCCGGGTCCCCGCACGGAGCTCCACCGAGGGCGGCACAGTGGGAGCGCGCATGAAGAAACCATATGCTTGTCGTCAGGGTATCCATGGGTTTTTTTCGCTCCTCGCGCTGCGCGGGGACGTCCCGCAGCCGTTGAAGGAGCTGCTGCGTTCAGGGTGCTCCGGGTTTCCCCCCAGGGGCACTCCGCGCACGGGTTCGCAGAGTCGGGTTTCTTGCGATGGTTTCTTGCGGCCGCGCCCGCACTGCATTCACAGCCGCGGCACTTACATCCGCACGTGGTTGGGCTTGTCGCCAGGGCTGCTTCGACGTCAAGGGCTTCACTGTGACTTGCCCCCTCCCCTCACCACCCACCAAACCACCCCAACCCAAACCGAAGGCTCCGAATTGTCCTCCATTTCCAATGGAGGGAGGGTCGGGGAACAATGAAAACACACATATGGAACCGGTAATTACCCCCCCAACCCGAAATTGGGATCTTCGGATTAGGTCGGGGTGGTCTGGTAGGTATTCACTGAAGGGTGGCAGCACGGACAAGGAACCAAACCCGAGTCTTTTTGCCTAGTCGCAGTCCCCAGAAATTCCGACCGTTACTCTCTGGGCTGAGTCTTGGCACTCCTGGGGCCCAAAGACGGCGCCCAAACGCCAAAATTGGTTAACAAATCCGTTTGGACTTGTTCAGGACTCTGGAGGCTTGGGAAGGCCCAGGCTCTCGACGTTTTCCGAAATTGTTTCTCCCATCTGGGGTCATTTTTCCTGGGCCTGGCTTAGGCCCCCATATGCCGAATGCGCTCGACTCTCTCTTCTACGACTTTTCGTTGCACGCGAGGAGTCCAGGGGGGGGGAGAGGAGCCGAGCGTGGCGCCGCGCAGGAGATCTTCAAGCACGTCTACGAGCTGGGCGGCAGAGTCGACGTGATCGTCGCCACGCCCGGCAGGACCCGCCACCCCCGCGCGCGCGGGAGAGACCGCCGCCGCCGCCGGCGCGGCTGTCCTGCGGCTCCGGGCGCCGCAGTGCCTGGCCAGGCCCGTGCAGACGTCTTCGCGTGGCGAGAGCCAGCTCCCCGGGCAGAGGGCCCCGCGCTCGTGCGGTGCCCTCCTCCACAATTAGGGGGGCCCCAGAGGCTCCCCGAGTCTGTGGCTGCTTTCTGGTGGTCTCGTCCGGCTTGCGTCGGATTTGGTGGGCGTCGGAGCGCAACTGTCAGGAGGGGAAAAAACACACAGACACAATGCATCGTCGATTTCCAAGAAAGTATGGGAAAATATGGGAAGTGGTGGGGAAGACAAAAACCCAGAAAATATGGGAGAATATAAGGAATATTTTTATTTGTGTGTATTTATTTGTGTGTCCCAGTTTCCCTTCAAACTGGAACGACACACGGCCGAAGCCTGGACGAACTCTGGCCGACACCTGGCCGGACACGTGCTCGTGGCAGGGCCGCGGAGGCCCACAGATGCGCCCCTTCATGCATCGGGGGTGGGCAGAGCCCCCAACAGTGACACGTCGATTCGTGCCCGGGGGCGCACGCGCTCGCCGGCCGTTGCTTGAGCTCTTCTGCGCCGCCCCCCTTAGCAGCCAGTTGCCGGTTCGTCCGAGGCAGGTCTGCGTGGGGGGAGCGCGCGCGCGCCGGCACCGTTTTCTGATTTCTTCTGCGCATTGCCGTGGCGCAGAGAAAAAAAAAAAAAAACAGGGACACGTCGATTCGTGAATCGTCCGTTTTTGGTTCTCGAGAGGGCGCCGTGGCCGTGATCTTCCAGGCTTGCGCCCGCCAGGTTTCGGTCTCGGGTCGTTTTCACGAAACCACGTTTTGCTAAAGGGGGTCTGTCCATCCCCGATATGAAAGCCCACCCAGCAACGCGGGGAGCTACGGCAGGTTTGCGTCGTGTCGACCGGCGGCGGCCCCGCCGGCGGCGTTCAGCGTCGAACGCCGCGGGCGGCCCAGAATCGTTCGATGTGGAACTTTGTGGACGCTGCGGGAACGGCCGATCGTTCAAGGTTGAGCGATCCCCGCGGTGTCAGGAACCAATTGGTTCCTGCCACCGCTGGGATCGCTCGGGGTTAACGCCGGGGTCGACACGACACGGACCTGCCGTACATGCGGGCCCTCCCACTTGGGTCCTTCGGTGTAGCTCCCTATGGGGCCACGAAGCATTTGAGGGGAGTGCCGACACGGGGGCGGGATGCCGCACGTGGACTCTCCCACTCGGGGCCTTCGGTGGTGCTCCCCATGGGGCCGCGCAGCGCGCGAGGTGCGCTCCGAAAACTGCACGCGGAGGGCTGAGGCAGGGGTGTGAGGAGGGGGACGGGAGCGGGAAAAGGATGATGATGATGATGATGATGATGATGATGATGATGATGATGATGATGATGATGAGGATGAGGATGAGGATGAGGATGAGGATGAGGATGAGGATGAGGATGAGGATGAGGATGAGGATGAGGATGAGGATGATGATGATGATGATGAGGAGGAGGAGGAGGAGGAGGAGCAGGAGGAGGAGGAGGAGGCGTCCTGGGAGCGTCTGGGGACACTCTTGGGGCCTTCGGTGGAGCTCCCTAATGGGGCCACGAAGCATTCGAGGGGAGTGCCGAGACGGGCCTGGGTGCCGCATGCGGACCCTCCCGCTGGGGGCTCTCGGTGGCGCTCGCCATGGGGAACGCGAAGCGCGCGAGGGGCGCTCCGAAATGTGCACGCGGAGGGCTGCGGCAGGGGTGCGAGGAGGGGGACGGGAGCGGGAAAAGGAGGAGGAGGAGGAGGCGGAGGAGGGGGCATCTTGGGAGCCTCTGGGAACACTTGGGGCCTCCTGGGAGCCTCCGGGGAGTCTCTTGGAGGCGGCGGAGGAGGAAAGAGGATGGTGACGCGGGGCGCTGTTTTTTGAAAACTGGGGCCCCAAACCACATGATGATTCGGGAAGAACGATTCGGACATCTTCGCGTCGCGAAAACATATCTTGGCGAAGGGCCAAACCATATGCAGTTGTGAGCGCCGCAGTTGTGAACATGGTCGTATGTGGAGCTCTCTTGGGCCACTCACTAAACACCGAAATTGGCGAGGAACCTCATGTGGCCGCATTTACCTGGGCCGTAGGTCGACCCCCTCTATGGGGCCCACGTGTGAGGAGCCGCATGTGGCGCATGCAATGAGCGGGGAGCCGCATGCGGCTGCACCCGCTGGGGCCTTAGGTGGAGCTCCCTATGATGCCACCAAATCTGCGAGCGGTGTGCAGGCGAGGACACGCGGTGGGCAGAGGCAGGGATGGGAGGAGGGGGAGGGGTAGCGGCAGGAGGTGGGACTCGGGGAGCGGCCGCTTCAGAACGAGGACCCAACACCTCAGGCTGGTTTGGGAAACAACGACGGAATGGTATTTAACAATTTTTCGGCCTCCTGGGCCCTTCCCCAGCCCCAGGACCATCAAAAACAGCTCGGGATGAAAAGCTGGCCGAAGGGCCGAGAACTCCGGGGGCCTCGTAAAGAAGTTATCATGGCGAAGGACCCTGGGCGGGAAACCGCATGTGGACCCTCCCACTGGAGCTTTCGGTGGCGCTCCCTGTGGGGCCACGAAGCGTGTGAGGGGTGTGCCGAAGTAGGCGGGGAGCCGCATGTAGACCCTCCCGCTGGGGCCTTCGGTGGAACTCTCCATGGGGCCACGATCCGTGCGAGGGGTGTGCCGAAACAGACATTCGGAGAGCATGGGCAAGGATAGGAACACGGGAGGTGGCAGCAGGAGGTAGGAGTGAGGCTCGGGGCGCTGTCTTTTCAAAACGAAGACCCAAACCACCGGATGTGTTGGATAAGGTAACCTGGGATCTGGCTACCTCCTCCTCCTCCTCCGCTTCGGGGCTCCAGAGACGGGGGTCGATGCAAACGGGGTTCAGTCACAGCGCCGGATCTTGTAGGACCCTGCAGGGCCAGGGGGAAACTGACTTGGGTTAAGGCGCAGGGCCCTGCAGGATCCTGCAGGAGGTTGCAGGATCCTGCAAGGCCTGACTGACCCCTGTCTGGATTGACCCGGGTCAGTAGATCCCCGACTTCCTCTTGCTAGACCTGGGCGTCGCATGGAAATCATGACGATTGGTTTTTCAACATTCTCGGCCCCCCTGTTCGCCGCTTCGTGTCCCGAGGACAGTCAGAAACGATGCCGGATGAAACGCTGGCCCTGGGAAGGGTGTCGAGATCTCTGAGGGTGTGGTTGCTGAGCCCCTGTCAGCCTCTCCTGTACTCCCTTGTGCGCCGCCATAACGGCTCACAAGGGCCCTTGAGCTATCATGGCGCGCTGGTGACGGACGCGCCCACGCCCCCGTAAAAGGAATGAGAACCTGCTCTCTTCTATCACGGACCCCCTATTTCTACCTCTTGTCCTTCTGTATCCATGCAGTCACACCCGTACAACCCACAGTGGCTGCGGAACCCGTGGTTAGACCCACGAGGGAGGTCAGGACGATCCGCCTGTCATGCGATTCTCCGGTGACATATTTTTTACTCTTCTCCCGTTCTTCCCGTTCTCTACCACATGTCACCGACCGCCGCCATGAATTCTCCAGACGACGCTTAGCTTCAAGAGGATGAATTTCCAGCAGATCCTTGGTTACAGCCAGATCAGGATGTTTGTGCAGGAGCTGGAGGACGAAAAGAAATTCGTTGTTAAGGTGATGACAATGTGGGCTGGTCAGATCAGGATTGGGCCCGCTGGTTATCACAGCCCTGGACGGAGACACGGCCCAATACGCAGCAATCGTCATCAGGTTGAATTGGGCGGCGACGTGGTTCGCCGGCTGCACCAAATCGGCAAAACACCCTTTTTGCGAGGACAGGCTATGCCTTACCCCTTCTGCTCCGATTTCCTGATCGCCAACGGGAGCAATTTCTTGAACAATTGGAGGCCACAACAATACCATACCACTTAACAACCTACCACTCGGGAGTGAAAAGATCCAGATATTCGCTTAGAACCCAACATGAAGGAGCTGCAGATGTGGTTCGCCACCACCAGAATTTTTGCAAGCACAGCGTGCATACCTCATCTACCGTTGTGCCAAAAACGACCTCATCATGAACGAGCCTATTCAGGACCAGTTGTCTGCCGAGGGCGGCGGGCAGGTTGTGATGAAACACATCCAGAAGGCTTTTGTCGAGAACCAAAGCCGCAGGATGCCGAAGGTTTCTTGAGAAGCTTCTCTTCTGAGGATAGACCGAGCGCAAGCGAGATGAATCCATGGTCGATTACATCGCGCGTAAGCGTGTGCTCTCCCGAGAACTCGTGAAGCATGTGATCCTGCAGGAGGAGTTGAAAAAGGGTACGCGTTGCTGAGAAAATGCCAGCTAAATGACGCTGCTTGGGATGTGATTGAGCACGGGACAGAGGGATCATACGATTTTGACTTAGTGTGCGAAAAGCTTCGGGGGCTTGAACGACCGCCACCTTCTGGCAAAGGCGGCCATCGTATCCATGGCACGAGGTCCACCTCGCATAATGTCGGATCTCAAGGACATGGTGACGGACGCGAGGGTCAGGGGTCGGATCGCGACGACGTCCAGTGGGTTATCATGCAACAGTATTTGTTTTGCCCGAGGCCTATGAGGAAGAGGAGATCGTGACTGAGGCTATCAAGTACATGGAGGACGACGAGGTACTCTTAGTAGCTGGAGACTTGCCCGACGACTCGGTTCTGGAAGAGGATGAGGCCATCGCTATCTGTGCCAACTACAATCAGGCACGACAGCACTCACACAAACGGAAGCTTGGACGAGGCTTTGTCAAGCGACAACCCCCAAAGGGACATCCCAAATGCTCCCGAAAAGGGAAAACGTCGAGGGAAACGCTCGGGACATGCCCGACCGAGGCGGTGGACCAAAGGTAAATTGACGAGCCGCTCGAAGTGCGCCCGACACGGGGAGATGGGGGGCTGGGCTCGAGACTGTGTGAACGAGCCTTGCCA